CACGGGGGAAATCTCACAGAAGAGCAGCACAAAGCTGTAAACCCCTGTGACTCTGTCTCTGTTTCCTACCACGTCCTTACAGGATTCAAAGAGAGCACACACACACACACACACGCACACACACACGAGATCATGCTAACTCACTATAACACAAAGACACACACAACACACATACACTCATTGTATCAGAGGCTTACATCACAGCAGCTTGTGTGTGTGTGTGTGTGTGTGTGTGTAATAGAGCGAAACAGAGGGAACACATCTATCTGTTTGTATTTATTCCACGTTGACTCTGAACAACACTGTAATGAACCTCGTCATGTTCCACTGTAAAGAAATGAGCTTACTCACAAACAATCACACACACATTTATTCAGGCTTACACAGAGTAAAAAACACATATAGAGATATTAAAACATATACTCACACAAATCTTTGTTCAGCCACAAAGCTCTCAGAGACTGTTACTTTCCTGACTGAGATCCAGTAGGCTTTGAACCACGCGCATGTAATCCATAACCTCCTCACAGAGTTGAATGTACACTCTCAGTGAGGATGCTCTCTCAAGGAAAGTATAAGACATGAATTGACACTTTGATTTTTGTGCTTTTTAGTTAATCTTCTGATATTTAAAGTCACTCTGTGTAGAAAGTTTATGTTATTATGCCAAATTCTTATTTATAGGTAAGGTCTGTTGATATCACGGCCGACAAAGCAGCAGTAGTGCTATCGTAGATTAGCTTCTTTTCAGTTCTTTCTGCTGCTGTTGACGTTTGCTGACTTGGCTGCTGCATGACCTTCGTTCATATTCTGATATATGACATACAGCCTCCGCTGGTCTTTAGCTTAATTGCATCTCGAGCAGCGTTCGTTTCTGAGGATGTTCAGGAAGAACGCAGACACCAAACACCAAACAAGTATAAAATATCTCCAAATAATAACACATTTCTGTGCTGTTATTGAGAAATGAAGATGACCTGTACTTGCATAGTGCTTTATTCGCAGTATGTGTTATTCTTCAACACCAAGACACTTTATTATTCCAAAGACCACTAAGAGCCACTTAGTGTAAGAAGGTTTCACCTGCAAATTAGCCATATTTACAACTCCTACTAGTCTTAATGTTTGGGGCTTAAAATCTTTAACATGCAAACATCTCCAAACTACTTTGAACACAGATGGAAGTATCTCATTTGTAATGATGTCTATTTGCAAGCTGCGCAAGTGTGTGTGTGTGTGCGTGTGTGTGTGTGTGTGTGTGTGTGTGTGTGCCTAGCCCTGGGCTGATGAGGGGAGGCATGTGGTGGCCATTTAGAAGGATTAGAACTGTCAGAGACATCAAGCACGACTAATTATTCTGCACACCACACTGCGGGGATGTGTAAGTGTGTGCAGTCTGTGTGTGTGTGTGTGTGTGTGTGTGTGTGTGACAAAAAAATATGGAGGGAGAGTAAAGCTAGAAAAAAGATAAAGAGATGGGAGACAGATGGAAGTGAATCGAGCCAGACAAAAGAGAGCAAGAGAGGGAGAAGCTACTGTTAATACCCAGAGAGAATACTGTGTCTGTATGAAAGATGGATTGATTGGAACAGAGAGAAGGGCAGATTTAGAGGTGTATTAGTGGGAAAACCCTGTGGGGAAATGTGTGGAAGGTAGAGAGCCAGGCCGGGGAAGAAGAGACAACAGTGAAGTGATGAATGAGAGAATGATGATGTATGGAAGGAAAGAGTCAGAAGAAGATGAACGGATGCGAGAGACAGAGAGAAGAGGGGTGACCTACCTCATGCCTTCATGGATGAATGCATTTGTATCCAAACATCCCAACATGCACTGCTCTGCCACTCGGGGCGAAATCAGCCTGCAGCACCCAATCAGCCGTGGCCTTTTACCACCTCGCCATGGGGCAGAGTGTGCTCAAGCTGAGTAAGTGAGTGTATTTGGGTTTGTGTGTGTTTGCATGTACATGAGTCTGCACACACATCTGTTTTCTCTCTGTGTGTGTGTGTGTGTGTGTGTGTGTGTGTGTGTGTGTGTGTGTGTAGATACAGGCCTCCGCACTACACTGCCTCTCTGATTTATCTTCAAACAGACAGCTCAGCCATCTCCTCTCCAACACCTCCGTCTCTCTCCTCCTTTTTACATCCCTCCTTCCCCCCACTCTCTGGCTCTCTGATGCTCACCACCGATCCATCCATCCTACAAAAACCTCCCCTCTCTCAATCTAACTCTTCCTCTCTTCCCTAAATCCATCCTTCCATCCATTTTACCCCTCTATCCATCTCTCCGTGCTTCCATATCCCTCAATCTGCATTTACTTCCCCGCGGGGAAGACAATTTCCTGAATCCCACTGAAGTGGAAAGTTTTCAGATTTAATACATCCCCCACCCATGATGTGCTCAGGCATCAGAGGAAGGGGTTGAAAGGAGGAGAGGAAAGAAGAAGGAGAAGAAGGTGTGCGGAAAGCCTTTGGCTGAGTAGATGGATGGAAACATCATACCTGAGGTAGCCGTACGCTAATCAAACACGTTGGTTGGTGTTAATCCTAAAAAGCCTTTTCTCTGATAATGTAAAAGGTGAGACATACTGTTTAACAAGACTATACTGATTCTGCTGCTTTGAGGGGTTGTACTTCAACACAGCAGTGCTTTGAGCTAAATGCTAGCACTTCTTAGGTTAGTGTGTTAGCATGCCAATATTTGCCAATTAGCACTGAATACAAACTGAATATTCATTTTTGAGATTACGAGGACAGATGGGAAGAACAGACGAAAAGTAAAGCGAAAAGGAGGTAACGGATGGAGAGAAGGAGATAGAGGAGGGAAAAGAAGGGTGGGAAGACTTGAGAATTTAGAGGAAGAGAAAAAGGCAGAGGAGAAGGAGCGGTGAGGAGGTTATAAGCAACTTGTGTGTTAAGTTGAAGAGCTGCAGTCACTTTATCCTGTGAGGGACAGTCACATCACATCCCTTCGGCTCTCCCTCTTGCTTGTCCATTTATATTTACGTTTGTGACTGTTGATGGATGTACAGTGTAAGGCCCACACACACACACACACACACACACACACACACAGAGCAGCCATGTGTCTTGCCTCTGAGGGATGGTTGTCAAGGTGATATATAATGGTCTGATCAACCTCAGCTTCATCACTGTGGAGACCCTGAAGAAAACCAGCTTCAACCAAACACAGCATCTCCCTCTGTGCTGTTATGCTGTTAAAATCTGTGCCCTGTGTGTTTCTAAATATCTGCCTGAGTCATGAAGCTAACTTAGTTTAAAGCAATGTAAGCAACATATTGATATTGATTGAGAGCAAAACGCACTATACATTTTTCTGTCCATTTTCAAGAGAAGCTTTGCCTGAAAGAGTCAACTGGACATCCCAGCCTGTATTAATATGACCGATAAATGTAGATTACAGCACATGTTTACATATATGGTGATTCATTTAGCTCATATGGTGTATGTTTATCATCTACTGTATATCATGTGTTTTGTCATCCACAGCATGGATACACTCATGTACCTTGCGTTTGCTCGCTTTCCTTTTGTCCTCCCTTGCCTCTCACTCATTCAGTACGTTACATTTTGCAAGCGTTCATTCACGTCTGTAACAACTGAAGTTTTGAATTTGATGAACATTAATTCCAAAAATGTTCTCATCAAGTTAAGCATAAAACTCATCACAAAATGATCACAACTGAACATTTCTTATCTCCATCAGCCCTGCTCAAAGGACACCAGGTGCAGAGCAGAGTTCATATGCTGGTGCTTACTGCGCTCTGCTGGTCAGTAAAGGGAATTCTACTGCAAGTGGATGGCAGGCAACTGGGTAGGTATTCCACAATGTAAGTGCCCCACCCAAAATGTGACAATGATAAATTCTCATTCCTCTTATTGTGACCCCCCCCCCTCATGTGGTCCCCCCCAATATTCTTAACTCTGCCTCTTTCTTATGCATATCTTTGTGCTGCTCTGTCACAAGTGAAATGGTAATGCAGAACTGTTGACAAATTAAAAGGGAAACAAGACAGAGTATTAATAGAAAATGAAGAGAAGAGAGCTAAACGAGGGAGAGACAAGAAAGGAAAACAAAGAGAAAGAGAGATGATAGACAATTAAAGTCAAATTATGGGAGCATGCCAAGAACATTAGCTACCAAAGCTGATCATTTATCATCATTGTGCGCCTTGTCAGCGGGTAATATTCACATTTGTAATTGGGACAAATTGGTAACCAGTGGGGCGTTTAAAGTGTGTGTGTGTGTGCATGTGTGTTTTATATTCTCATTAATTTATAGAGGAGAGCACATTGAGGACAAACAGCGTCTACCTTTGAGTCCAACTAATCACAGCAGCTGATTTCACCTCACAAATTAGCACCAGTTAACCACAGAGGAGAAAATAAACTGAACAAATGAGCAGCTGTGGGGTTACAGGTCAAATAAAACTGTAATTTTATACTATGTAAATTATACTTATATTAAACTGAATCTGGAAACATTTCCCTCTGCTGCTGGTCACATGTTTACAGTTGTTTATATGCTATTAGAACATATTTTTTGTCCTACAGTAACTGTATATTTGTATTGTATTCTTCTCAAACTTTGATACTACCAGAACAAGAAACGTCTATCTATAGCCTGCTTTTTGATAGGACACATATCTACAATATACTGATGTTAATGTGGACAGATAATATGTGGGCTAGGTGTGTGGTTATAAGGACATACTTTGTGTATGTTACAGAGTACTCTCGTGTTGACATAGTATCTTTGTTTTTTTACACAGGTCATCCTTTCTTTGTGATTGTTTTGCTTTTCCCGTCATTCTTACAAAAGAATAATAAAACAGATTATCTCCATCAAAAGGTGTTGTTGCTATAACTAAAGTAGCAGTGATGGAAATAAAGGTAGATACCATAGACTGTAAGATAGATACAGCAGAAGCAATATACTCAGTAGCAGTGGTTATAGAAAAAAAACAAAACGTATCACGCATGCGCAACGCGCCATCGAAGGAAATAGTGTAAGAAGTGCGTGAAGTCGATCGGGACTGGACACGGAATCTGAGATTTAACTTGATCCTCGCTCTAGTTTTGAGGATGTAAAACTACAACTTGCGGACAATGAATTTTACTCGCCATGTTTTTATAAACAGCTGGTGAATTCATGAAGATAATACAGGCGACATACTGGATCTGCACGCCCCACTGCTGGCCCCGTCGGCACGGTAACTTTGGACAGAGGCAGGGCTCTCCTGCTAGCTGCCACACAAGCTAACTCCAGGTAGCATAACATGCTAACGCTACCTATTTACATTGCTTTAATTCGTTTTCAGTTATAAACTGTATAGTGTTTACTCGCCAACCAGTGTGTTTTTACAGTTGCATACTTATCGTACTGTCGAATTAAGGGGTCAGCAAATGCGTGGGCTGCCGCATAATAAACAAACACGCCTGCTAACCTCGTAGTAGCATGCTATGTTAGCCAGTTTGCTATCATCGACGTTAGATGTTTTTATTAGCAGGTAGCTAGCCAATCCGATGTCAAGTTATTTGAGTGGAAATGGTGTTTCCGGTTAGGCTCTTCAGAGTAAAACCATACTTTAACAGTAATATATACAGTAGCAGCCCACAACACCCATTGGAGCAGTTAAATGCATATTACAATCAATATTACTGGCAGAAAGATGTGCTTTAAATGCATTGTGAGCAATAATAGTTAATTGAATAGTCATAATACACTTAATAAGGGTCTTACTTTTAGCATTTAAAATATTTCACCTTTATTTTGAAAACAAGAAGTCTTTATTTCCGGCTACCTTCTGTTCTTATGCAGTAACATCCTCTGACCAACGACAGCCTGAGTGGCGCCGCTAGCTCGCTACAAGAGGCACGCGAGGACATCAACGTCACCTTTATTTTTATCCTAGAATAAACAGTTCCGGGTTTTTCTGCCCTCAAACGTAAATCCAATAACTGCTGATACTTTGTCATTAAGTCGTTGATAAGCTACCATTATCGCTATACTTTCAAAAACGTCACTGTTATGGTTCAAGTCTCCTGCATATCCACATCCAAACAGAAATATTGTGTAATATATGTACTATTTGAGGTGAATAAAAAAACTACTGAGACCTTTCTGTTTAACGCTATAAAACTCATCAGCACCACGAGCTGGAGCCTCCTAAATGTATCTACAGTTGAATCAACACTTCTCTCAAACAGTTTGATCTAAACTCGTACATTGTCCTCTTTTCAGATCTTGTCATCGTTCCTCCTGATGCTGAGAGGCTTGTGGTGACGCATCTGCCTCATCTACAGCTGAATTACTGTGAAGATTGTCTCTCCTCTGGCCTCCTGACAGAGTGAAACTGTGTCAACATCATATATAATCAGACACAGAAGTCAAGATGTCCATCACCAACACACCTACCAGCAACGATGCCTGCCTGAGCATCGTGCACAGCCTGATGTGTCACAGGCAGGGGGGCGAAAGTGAGACGTTTGCCAAGCGGGCCATCGAGAGCCTGGTGAAAAAGTTGAAGGAGAAAAAAGACGAGCTCGACTCGCTCATCACAGCTATCACCACCAATGGGGCCCATCCCAGCAAGTGTGTGACCATTCAGAGGACCCTGGATGGGCGACTTCAGGTAGGACAATACAGTTATCTGGATCATTCATTTAATAGGATTATCATTTATTTTCTACACATTGGTGTTGACAAGCTCAGGTAAATAATACACCGGTAAACAACATCCAACATGTGAGATGAGAAACCTGTCAAAATAAAACATTGCAAGCTGTGGTTTTAAAATGCAATTGTCAGGAAAACGATTTAAGATCTGGAAAATAATTAAGTTAACAGAATGTGAGAAGATTCAGGAAATCTCTCTGCATTTAGTGCCTTAGACCAAAGCTGTGCTGGAGCCAATATTTTTTTACCATTTGTGTAGTCGGAACTCGCTTTTCATCGAAACAGTCGAAGACTAGCTGTATTCCAATAACTGACACGTCGTTTGACCTCAGCTGTGAATTTACAAATTCATTAACTCTTTTCCTGTTTTCTTTCTCTCTCTCGCTCTCTCTCTCTCTCTCTCTCTTGTTGTTGTTTGTTCCCCCAGGTGGCCGGACGTAAAGGGTTCCCTCATGTAATCTACGCCCGGCTGTGGCGGTGGCCTGACCTGCATAAGAATGAACTGAAGCATGTCAAATACTGCCAGTTTGCCTTCGACCTCAAGTGTGACAATGTGTGTGTCAACCCCTATCACTATGAGAGGGTGGTGTCTCCTGGCATAGGTGAGCATGGAGAGATCTTCAGTGAGTTCACTTTTTGGGTGTTTTGACATCTGTTTAAATGTATATAGGGCTCAATAGAACACGCATGAATAAGCGGAGCTGTAAGAAATTCAACCTCAAAGATTCAGTTTTCTCTTTTATACTGCACTGAAGACATTTGTTAGCTTGTGGGCTAAAACTTGCAGAGTTACTTGTGTGGTCCTGTAATTTGCTTAAAATAATTAAACTAATGTGACGTTCATTGAAGTCTTAGTGGCATGTGTCTGTTTAGTTATTCCCTTTGTTGTAGATTGGCATTGTCAGTAACCTGTTCCACCTCTTCCTCCTCGATCCACAGACTTATCCGGACTGACACTGACCAGCTCTGGTCCCAGCTCTGCACTGATGGTTAAGGACGAGTATGATTTTGATGGGCCGCAGAGTCTGCCCTCAATCGAGGGAGGGCACTCCATCCAGACCATCCAGCACCCTCCATCCGCCGGCTGCCCGGCCCCCTCTGAACCATTTGCGACCCCGAACCTGCTCCCACCGGCTGAGGCCTCCACCTCTGCCTCAACATCGTCCTTCCCCGCCATTGCTGCTGGAGCAGGCAGTAAGATACAGTTGTAAAATATCCCAGTGTGTGCTCGTTTGTCCTCATGTCTTTGTATGTTTGTACATGCAATATATGTGTGTGTGTGTGTGTTTGACAGTTAAAGACTTTCTTGTCTAATTTTAAATTTTGGCAGTAGATTTGTGAGTTTGTACTTTTTATTGGAACTATCTGTGGGTCTCTTATTCTCCTAGGTGCCAGCTCAAACTGGTCTAGGAACAGCAGCTTCACATCCAACATACCCCACCACACCAACGGCCATCTACAGCACCACCCTCCTATGCCACATCCGACACACTACTGTAAGTACACACTCACTACAGCTGTAACTCACTCCACAGACTTTATTGCATACTGGGATGTTAAGGCAAAGTGGGTGATCTCTGCCATGACTCTGTGTTTCTCTCAGGGCCAGTGCATAATGAGCTGGCCTTTCAGCCTCCGATATCCAGTCATCCAGGTGAGAACACACAATCCACACGTACATAAACCCTGGACAGAATGTTTAGTCCTGATATATTAGAAAACTGTTTGAACAGTGTATCTTTATTTCCACATTTTAGTCCCAAACTTAGATCAACTTAGGCAAGTTTATGTTACAGCATGAGGTGAAAATAATGGTTTCAGTCATTTATTTAAATGTTGCTTGTTTGTCATCATTTCATATCTATGACTATGAAAACAAAAGTCACAATAGTTTCATGTTAACTTTGACCATTTTCCATTCATGACACAAACCCATTGACATCCCTCCTCTGCTTCAGCTCCTGACTACTGGTGCTCCATTGCCTATTTTGAGATGGACGTTCAGGTCGGGGAGACGTTTAAGGTGCCCTCCTCTTGCCCCACCGTGACTGTGGATGGCTACGTCGACCCCTCAGGAGGAGACCGCTTCTGCTTGGGCCAGCTCAGCAACGTACATCGCACTGAGGCGATTGAGAGAGCAAGGTAGGGGACGACCTTATCACCCTCAGTATTTAGAGCAACACCTTTTAAAACCTGGCTGCTAACATACTTTCTAAAATAATTTTTTACCACATCTTCTTTTCATGTGGTTCCTTATACTCCTTCCTGTTTATTTCATTCTTTCCCTGTTGTCTTTATTCCCCGGCTCTCTCCCAGGCTTCACATCGGTAAAGGGGTTCAGCTGGAGTGTAAGGGCGAGGGAGATGTGTGGGTGCGATGCCTCAGTGACCACGCAGTGTTTGTTCAGAGTTACTACCTGGACCGAGAGGCAGGCCGAGCCCCCGGAGACGCTGTTCACAAAATCTACCCCAGTGCTTACATCAAGGTGTGGAATGTAAAACAAGGACATGTCTCAAGGTTGACGTTTCAACTGCTTGCGTGTCTGAAAAAAATATCTCTGATTTAGTCCTCCATTGACAAACATAATTCAGTATTTACGTTCCTGATTTCTGCTGAATGTACAGTCTTGATGGTCTCTTCTCTGCTGCCAGGTGTTTGACCTCCGGCAGTGCCACAGACAGATGCAACAGCAGGCTGCTACAGCTCAGGCAGCAGCTGCAGCACAAGCAGCCGCTGTGGCCGGGAATATACCTGGCCCTGGATCAGTTGGAGGAATAGCTCCAGCTATTAGTAAGATGCTGTTGACTGCACATACACAGATGCACATTCACACACACACAGAGACAGTGGGAAGTAAAGGCGGTGTGGTCTGATGTACATGCCATCCAAGAGTGAGTGTGAGCGATGTACTTGCATATGTAAAGAATGGAGGAATGCTCAGACAGATGTTTAACCTGATGTTCATTTAGATAAAAACTCCAATGAATATGCTCTGGTAAAACTAATGTAATGTTACAGAAGTACATGGTTATATTGGTTCCTATTGGATGATGAATATTTGCTTATGTTGGCTTCATCGCTCCAAAAACTGAAGCTGAAAGTTCTGCTGTTGTTACTTTCACATCAACTATTTTTTATTAGAGACAAGTGGTTAATAGAAGGACGACAACTATTTTCATTATCAAATTAATCTGCCACTCATTTTCTTGATCGAAAACTTAATGATTAGTTTTATTTCTTAAAATAGTGCCCTATTTCACATATCCAAATTGCTTCGGTCCAAAGATTTACAGTTTACTGTCATTAAAGTCTGAGAAAACCAGCCAGTATATACCTTTTAGAAGCTACAACCTGTGAAACGTTGCAATGACAAAAACATTGTCAGTTGGCAATCATTTTCCATAGATCTGTTAATTGTCTCAGCTCAAGTTAATAGTAATAAATCACACTTAAATGAATGTTTTATTCTTGGGTTTCTATAATTCAATTCGATATTCCTTCAAGTGTGAATTGTTAGTCACATGCAGCACACTGACCTGTTCATGTCTCCCTCTCCTCTGGTTCTCTTAGGTCTGTCAGCAGCAGCCGGTATCGGGGTAGACGACCTCCGCAGGCTGTGTATTCTCAGGATGAGTTTCGTGAAGGGCTGGGGGCCCGACTACCCCCGCCAGAGCATCAAGGAGACCCCCTGCTGGATCGAGATCCACCTGCACAGAGCTCTACAGCTACTGGACGAGGTTCTGCACACCATGCCTATAGCAGACCCGCAACCTCTGGACTGAGCATCGCACTGCAGCCATACAGTGGCAATGGAAAGTCTTCCTCGGTGAACTGTTGTGACACTGAAGCTGTCTCACGTGAAACAAAAGAAGACAAACCTTCAGGTGTGTTTGAGGCACCTTTGTGCACTGTGGCTCCTACTTTTGCTTTTTTATTATTTTTTTTTAAGCAAGAGTGACACTAAAATGAGCCAAAGCCACACATCAAAGATATCTTTATTTTTGATAGATGGCTTTGATTTTTAATAACTGGAATATGATCAACTGTAGGACTAGAAAAAGACTTCACAGATAACTATAGTTACAAAGCACCACAACATGCACATACATGACCTGCAGATTGCGACTACTGACAGACATTAGATTCAGTGCTGTACCGCTGTGCAATGAGACGGCTCTCACATCCAGTGATGGAGCACCAGCGTGCTGCTGGTTTTCTATCGCGTCGGTTTCCACTCGAGCCGCTACAGACCGCTTCACACCTGGGATGACGAGCAAGTTCAGCCGACTGTCGGGCCGGAATAGAAAAGCAGCGACACTCGATGCGATCGGCGCTCGACATCACGTCGGTAGCTGCCTCTCAGATGCTGGACAGGGTTGAGAGGACCACCCGGCTTGGATCAGGTCGTATTAGACGCCCACGGGAATATCACAGTGAGCGAAAGGACGAGCACCGCGCCTAAAGCCGCCTCTAACCCTCCGAACTGAAACACGGTCAAGTCAATGGACTCTTCTAGGTCAGGTATTGTCAAAGTATGGGTTTGGACCGTATAACTGGTTTGGCAAGACAAAGTACTTTTTACTCGGTAATATACTGTAAGTCTCGTGTGATCGTGAGAGTTCAGGTCAGCTGCTGGACCCAATCACGTTCATTTAGAGGTTTCTTTAACTTTAAATGTGATTATTTGTATTTCTTTAGTTTTGATTTTTATCTCCAAGCATACCCGACTCTTCACACTTGTTGAGAATCATTGTACTGAAATATCGTATGACTTGCAGCCCACGTATATATGCTACTTGATCCAGGTCTCTTGTGTGTAGTTTACTGATAAAGATGCGTGAATTGAAGACGGTGTCCCAGCAATATTGAAATATTTTCTTTGGTTTTATTTTTGTTACTTTTATTAATTGATTTGTATTATATTTGTAGCACTTTATTATTTTTTCCCCTTGTTTTTAATACAATAACCCTAATTTAGAGGTGGCTGTCCTGCAATACGGAAAGGGAGTGAACAGACTGATTTATATATATTTTGTAGGAGTGTGAGCAGAGGCAACTTTGTGATGCATTTGTACTGGAAACATTTGTAACACTCTCTATAGGCATTGACACACACTGGTAGGGTTTCTTTTATTTTCTTTCCTTTTAAATCCATGTAAATAATGTTGTTTTTGAAATGCATGTCAATATTCGCATGAATTTGAATGACAATTAGACCCCATTCCCCCCCCCCCCCCCCTTTTTAAATACAGTACTTCACAAACTGGATTATGTGAGGAGAGCTGTGTGCGTGTGTGTGTGTGTGTGTGTGTGTGTGAGAACAACATTAAAGGCAAACCGTGGGAAGCTACATAATCATTACTGATGGAAATTATATAATTCAATTATATAAACTTAATGTTTTTTTTGCAGCCAGGCTTCTAAAGAAGGCAACTTGTCTCCTGAGAGCTCATTTTCATACAATAACACCATCAGTTATGTGTGCAGCCTCTCTTTGATAGTAAAATGAGTTCAAGCGTATTATCATATTGACACAGAAATAGTTATTTCAACACGAGTCCCCTCGTCGCTGCGCTGCATGTGATGCATTCTGTTACTGGTTTTTACGGCATTGTTGCAGATTAAGCACATTTCATTTACACATGTTGAGACTCTTCTGTCCATACATTATATATCTGATCATCGGCATATGACAAGACGTGTTTATGTCCCTAAACGGGTGTGTTTTTTATTTTTTAATAATGCTGTCTTGCAGATGAAAAAGACAAATTGGTTTCTTCGAGGTTTAGTTGAAATTTGTTTGTTTGTTTGTCATAAGAGATGATCCACTTTGCTCTCCAACTGATGGAGCCAAACTAAGCAGCAGTGGGTTGCTTTCTCTCCTCTCTGTCCCATCTTTCATTATTTCACTATAATTTGAAAAGCATTGTTTAAAAGGTTTGTCCTACATCAGGTATTAAGAGTCAGTTAAGAGTGAATGGTAGGAAACAGGATATTTTATGATTATGTATCTGAATGAACTGATGCTGAATTCTGTCCAGAGAAATAATCTGTCATGCTTTAGGGTGGTCAGATGTCTTTATAATACTTGCAGTTATTATAGGAGCCTATGAAGACACGGCTCACATGAGTTGCTGTGGACTACTGTGACAGATTGCAGATATGCATTTTACCTGTATTTCTTATGCGAGAGTCTTTAATTAAACATGGCCTGATATTCTCTAAGTGGTGACCTGTATCTTTTCTCAACAAGGTAGCATGTCTACAACGATGGAATTGGTACAATTTAAATGTTATGTATTTATTTTAAAAACATTTCAGCTCGGGTATGAAGCTATACTGGGAATTACGTGGGTCAACGTACCAACAGACCTTTTTTTCACAGAGGACAATTTGACGCCTCACAACAGAAAAAGCTGGGCTTTAACTTAACATGAGTGATGGCTGCATCGCACTAAGGGAAGGTCCTGGGATTTTCTGCTATGACGTGTCAAAATGTCTGCTCTGAAAAAGGTCTATACAGGTGCATCTCAATGAATTACAATATCATCAAATTTATTTCAGTAATTCAATTCAAAAAGTGAAACTCGTATTATATAGATTCATTACACACAGGGTGGTATATTTCAAGTGTTTATTTCTTTTAGTTTTGATGATTATGGCTTACAGCTAATGAAAACCCCAAATTCAGTATCTCAGAAAATTAGAATATTACATACCGATTTTTAAAAAAAAAAAAAGAAAGGATTTTTAATACAGAAATGTTGGCCGACTGAAAATTCTCTCAACAATACCCCAGAGAGAGTCTATGGGGTATTGTCAAGAGGAAGATGAGACATCAGACCCAACAATGCAGACGAGCTGAAGGCCGCTATCAAAGCAACCTGGGCTTCCATAACACCTCAGCAGTGCCACAGGCTCATCGCCTCCGTGCCACGCCGCATTGATGCAGTAACTCATGCAAAAAGAGCCCCGACCAAGTATTGAGTGCATACTGCATACTGTACATGGACATGGTTTTCAGTAGGCCAACGTTTCTGTATTAAAAATCTTTTTTTAATCGGTCTTATGTAATATTCAAATTTTCTGAGATACTGAATTTTGGGCTTTCATTAGCTGTAAGCCATAATCATCAAAACTAAAAGAAATAAACGCTTGAAATATATCACCCTGTGTGTAATGAATCTATATAATACGAGTTTCACTTTTTGAATTGAATTACTGAAATAAATTAACTTTTCAATGATATTCTAATTCATTGAGATGCACCTGTATACGAATCCTCGTCCTTAACGAATACAGCAGGAGAGTGTACGCACGTCCACACTGGCCAGAGAAGAGGTCTAATCAGCACAAATGGAAATCACCTGTGTGGCTAGGCGTGTGTAGCACCTGCCTATCAGAGTCTTTGTCCAAATGGGTTTCGCTGTACGAGATTCAAAACGGGTGAAGACAGGTCTGAGGCCATTTGTGTGAGGTTCAGACGGTTTAGTCAAGTTAAACCATAACACATCGGAGCACCCCATCAACTCTTAACGCTCTCACATTTAAGTATTTACACTATTATTCAATTATAGTGCATGGGTCTGACATTTCCCCTCACTCTCCTGTTGGCTTTATTGCACCCGTTATGTGAGACTAATTACATCTGTATCAGAAGATGTCTCGGTAGTTAAAGCACAGGTAAAATAATGATGGTGGCTGACTTCCATTCAGCTTATGGAGTTTGTGCCTCCTCCGTGGTTTGTAACCAGTAAAACATGTCAAAATTAGGGTGAGGAAAATTCTTGGACATTTGCATATTTGGTGAAATGACCCCCGGGACATGAGTGCAAGCTCAAAAACATTAAAACAGCGTTTTACATACTGAATGAAACACACCAGTCAAGACACATTTTAAAATGAAACCGTCTTTATTAAGTAACTTTAATATCAGAAAAATAAAACTCTTAAATTCTCTTTACAGCAAATATATAATATCAGTGCTTTGGCCGCAATAACTTAAAAGGCCGTTATAAAATATAGTCTGCTTTTAAACTCCTGACTCAATTTGAAGAATTTATATGCCATAAGACTCCCCCTACATATACATAACAAAATTGTAGTAAAATTAGCAAATACTTTGAACTGTAGGTACATCTTAACAATTTGTGTGTGTGTGTGTATATATATATATATATATATATATATATATATATATTTTTTTTTTTTCTAAGATACATTTTACAGTATACCGTTCTGAATTTGGTGGTGTACAGACAGGACAGGCAGCTTGAATCCGTGGCCTTTTTACAGTTGCAGTGTGACGTTTTACATTGGCGGTACATTATGAAGACATGCTTGTGATGCACATTCCATTTTCCACAGCTATCAATACTATCATCATCACCAATACTGTAAACTAATTACTAGACTACAAGCAGATAGCATCCACACTCTCCTCCTGCAACATTTCTGGGTTTCCAACTCTTCATTCACTTAATCACTCAGAGAAAAAGTAAAAATCTTATTGTAAACATTTTAATAGAGATATATTTATGTATATATATGAAATGTAACAAAATAAAAATAACATCTGTATATTTATCAGTCATTAAAAGTAATATCATATAATACAAACAAACATGTCAATGTCACTAAACTGTATTGCATTCCCCCAGAGAGAGAGAGAGAGCTTTGTATCTTTGTAGAGCTGAGAGAAGTCAAATAAAAAAAAAGGACGGCTAAAAACCCGAGGGGGCAGAAGAAAATGTTTTTTTTTTTTGCACTTTTGGGATTCATTCGGTTCCATTTTCCTCGAGAAAGCTCAATCATCCACAAAAGACGATAGTTAAGATACAGAGCCAAGCTTTAGAGTAACTCAAAATTACTGTTGACAGCTGGAATGCTAGACGGTCCAATGTCCACAAAGTAAAGCAACATTATTGACCTTATGTAGTGTCGGCACAGAGTCCAGGATGAAATCATTCCAGCTGCTGCCCCTCCCCAAATGTCCGTCGACTCATCCACTCCTGTAAAACAAGGTCTTGAGACAGTGATGTTTAAAGCTGAGCTTTTGAGATGATTTCCACCATTTCTTCACTTTTCAGGCGGAGGAACGGACAGATGCACACATTGAAGGCGGGGGGAACAAAAGCCTGACTGTTATTGGAATCCAAACTTGTCAATAGTGTGATAAGATGCGAGGATGGATGTGCTTAGTGGGGCACAGGACAATAGCATGAGAAGCAAAGTGTGTGCCATTGAAAACATCTCATTACCGCATTAGAGCAGGTAATGAGGTTTAACACCGACTGAAATGTAGTAAAAAAAAAAAAACTAAAAAAAAACAGAAGGGATGTTTCGGCCGACACGTTAAGCCAAAGATAGTTTGAGCTCGGTAATTAAAACCGGAGGAGCTTAATTTATCGAGTGCTTCCTCGGGTAGTCGACATACCGATTTTTGCATAGGCCTGGTAGACGAGATGTGTGTGGGGGGGGGGGCAACACCTCAGTCCTGCATCCATTGGAATTATTTTTGCTGACTGCGAGGATATAAAATGGCTGTGACGAGACAGCCACAGGGTCGAGCAGTTCAGCGGAGAGGACACTAAAGAGGCGGCTGAAACGTCTGTCGGGGATTTGTTCCAGATACAGACGTCTCCAGAATATAGTTTGGTAGAATGTCAGCTCTTTTGGCTCCCAGTTCAATTGTTACTACTAACTAGCCATACTCACTAAAGATGTGACTGTAATACAGGGGGGGGGGGGAAGGAATGTGTCCAAAGGGACGAGCTGTGCATATCTTTCTGGCTGGAAACAAGCACCTGGTTTCCCAAAACAAGAAAAAACTAACAAAAAGAGGTAAAGACCATGGAAACAGAAATAAAATGGGATTGTTTGGTGTTTCAAAAGATAAAGCAATAGGTGGCAAATAATGGAGAAAGGCTCAACAGAAATAGGAAGCAAAAGAAAACATCCCTGTGATATAACTTTTGTTCAACCGAGATGCATTTAAGAGATCGAACTTCGACGAATACATTAAGACCTCAGTCCGTCAGCTTGTGTTCTTTTGAGCAAAGATTTTGTAGATAGTGTTGTCAGTTAATTACAGGCTTTCCAAAAAAAGGCCACAAGTTTGTTTTAAGACAGAGCAACACTGTGCGCCCGCTGAAGCAGTTATTTTTCTTCACTCGGAACGGAATTAGGCACAAGTTTACTGTAAACAATGATTCTAAAAGGTAGAAATGGAAAGCAACACGTGGCAATACTGAAGTGGCGTGACATCCTGTGATGGTACTCTACAAAAAGCAGCTACCCACCTGTTGGTTCTAGTCTGGGAAAGAAACAAGAAGGTTGCCATTGGGAGTGTGACATCTGTGCCGTGGCAGGTTTGACCCACTTGGTTTAAAAACCCTGTTAATATCAGCGATCCACAAAAACAAAAAAAATCTGATTTATGATCCGGAGCATGTAAACATCGTATCCCGTTTAAAGTAGCACAGATACACTAAATAGCCCGATAATATTTATGCAAATGATGTGTGACAGAGTAGCACCTGCCAGAATAACGCAGCATATGTACATTATATCCAGTTTACTGTGGTAGGCTTTTAAAATCTTTGTTAACCAGAATACAATTAGTATTCATGTGAGGGACTCGCTATTTGTAAACATGCTCATCGGCTCTTTTTCCTTAAAGTTCGCTATAAGCACAATAATTGAGAGGCAAATGGGCGGGGCCATATTGCAGCACTTAAAATCAACCGTAGCAGCATTTTTTTCTTCTATTGAACAAAACTTTTGAGATGTAGACCTAAAATAACTTTGACCCGAAAGCGAACATTATATCTAATAGAATTTAAAGTACATTTTAAATGTTTGATAAAATATAGGTAGTCAGAAACCATTATTAGATGCTGAAGGGAGAAGATGTAAATCAAAAAACATGATGGTCATATATATATATATATATATATATCCCCCAGCCCACCCAATGCTACACGGAGGGTTTTCCGACCCTCCCATTGATCGATCAATCAATCAATCAATCAATAACGGAAGAAGACTTCACAATAGCAGGCACATGAGCGGGCTGACCCCCCCCCCCCCCCCCCCCCCC